ACACACACACACACACACACACACACACACACACACACACGATTAATGCTCCCGTTTACTGAGATTTATTCATGAATTTGTCCTATAAAAAAAAAAAGGAATGGGCGCTATGAATCATGGGATATTGTCAGCCCAGTCTGCTGTGTATGAGGAACAGATCTCATGTCTGATTCTGCCGGATGGGTGTTTCACTGCCGTTCTCCTGATCTGAGTCTGTGTTTTATCTACTCAAACCAATGCGTCCGTGCATACACTGATCTCAGTCTGTCATGAACAGAGTCTCGTCAGGCTCTTTCTGTGATGATGGGTTTGTACCTATAGGCGTCTCCTCCAAGTACGTCTTGGCGTTTAGATCGGCACCATGAGAGACCAGAAGCTCGGCCACATGCACCTGTGGGAGGAGATTCATTCGTTTTTATCATTCATTAGCATTATTAGTAGAGAATTATGAGTTATGATGAGTCTATCATCACCACATCACTTACACTGAGTCTGGCTTTTGATATTTATCTGTGGATGCCAAGATTATTATTGTGACTAAAATATATTCTAGTTAATTGAAATATAGCTTAAATAAAATATAAACATTAGATGAAAAATTTGAAGTGCTGCCTTGGCAACTAACTGTTGAAGCACTAAAATTACTAACTGTAAATAATATTTTAAACTTAAATAGTGATATAAAAAACAAAAATGAAGCAAAGGCACATAACATTTCTAATCTAACATTAAAATGAAATCTGAAAATATAAAAACATTAAGCATGATTGTATGTATATAATACTTTAATAGCTGGTGGATGCTCATTACTGATGAATTATTACATTTTTATGATCTCTTTATAGTCTCATTTGTAAGTGGCTTTGGATAAAAGCATCTGTAATAAATGCGCTGCTCGTTCAAGCTGCGGTGATGTATAGTACAGTAGCATTAACCTGATGGATTACAGTAAACATTTAACTCTTTAAGAGCAAAGTTAAAGTTAAAGACACTTCTTCTGTCTGTAGCAGATTTCAAAATTAATATCCATCGTTCATACAGAACATTACGATGTTGTGATGCCTCACTTCACTTACGACATAACTACTGATTTCAGTTTTAATTTAGTTTTATATTAAATGCATCAAATATAAAATAATTTATAATTATAATATTTATAAGCCAATTAATGTTTCTCAGGCATAACGTATATAAAATACTGTGTTTGAATGAAGTCTCTTCTGCTCACTAATGCTGTGTGTGTGTGTGTGTGTGTGTGTGTGTGTGTGTGTGCATTTTTAAATAAAAAATACAGTAAAAACATTAATATTGTGAAATATTATTCCAACTTAAGATAATTTTCTATTGCAATAATATTTCACAATATTACTGTGTTTGTGTGTATGTGTGTGTGTGTGTGAGAGTTTGTGTGTGCGTGTGTGTGTGTGTGAGAGTTTGTGTGTGT